ACTGCTATTAGACACGAGAGGGCAGGCAGAGGCAGACTTTGCTTTCAAGTCTGAAGTAGTACAGAAACTTACTAGGGAATGGTGGGAGTGGGCCCTGCTTTCAAGAGCCTGCTGTGCCCTCACACTGGAATTCCAGTTTCTCCTGCCTGTAAGGGTAACATCTGTTAAGAGTTTGCCACCCAATGAATTGTGGCCAGAGGGAGCTGTGTAAATTAGTGGGCAGAGTGCTCCAAATGATTTGTGCTTATTCAAGGTTAGTTGCTTCCTTTCTTTTTTTTCTCCTGAAAGAATGTGACAGTCTTTTCTGCGCTTGGGAGATACCCATTATTATAGGGAGGATGGGCCAGCTTCAGTGTTTTGACTAGAAATAATCTTCTGGCTTTGGATATAAATTTATTCATGGCCAGTTTATATCCATTTGTTCTTGTTAATTGAAATATTTCTCCTACCTTCATGTTTCTTTGCTGATGTATTAGTAGAAGTTGATTATATCTTCTCTCAGCTTTTTTACTAAGATAAATAAAGCAAGCTCTTTACCTCTTTACTCCAGACCTAGATTTTTTGTGTGTGTGTGATTTTTCTGTTTCCTCTGCTGCAGATTTGGAAGCTGAAATTGCACAAGAAGAAGGTGACACATGTGGAGTTTAACTCCCGATGTGAGTGGTTGTTGGCCACAGCATCTGTGGATCAGACAGTCAAAATCTGGGACCTCAGAAACATCAAAAGCAAAACAAACTTTCTTCATGTGCTTCCTCATGACAAACCTGTCAATGCCGGTGAGTTAAGAATTTTTTTGCATGGATGTCTGCAGAGAGTCCACTCAGCTCAGCTTTTATTGTTGTGGCAGTGGATCCGAAGTTGTACAGTAGCAGTGTTACAGCAAGGAAGGGCCATTGGCAATGTGTGGCCAGAGGCAGGGAGGTGGGTAGGGCAGCTGCAATGCAGTCTTAAGACTTGCCATGCAAACTGTGGCACTGTGCCTTGAGAGGTGAGTGTGGAAGCACCGGCAGTGGCTGAGATTAGAAGCCTGAATTTACTGGGGCAGTTCCTTTGACAAAAGCAGAGCACGGGACTCAAACCTCTGTTTCTTGTGTGCAGTTTTACCAGTTCATAGAAATCCAAACTGTATGTGTCTGTCTCCATCTTTTCCACTAACTTTCTATTTGAACGAGCAAGTTCCTTTCTTTGCAATGTCTTTTTCTCCAATTCTAAAATGAGAATAATGATTCTTCCTATGTAACTCAGTGCTCTAGGTTTCAGCTTACTGATTATAAGAGCTTTGAGTTTGTTTGAGACTGGTAAAGCCTTGTCTGTTGGGACACGTGGCCATATTCACATCCCTGTTAAAGAAATAGCAATGGGCTTCCAATCAGAGAAATGTGACTTTTAAGCTTCTTGTCAGTCACAGCACTGTGATCTTCTGTTTGCCTTACTGTCCCCCTCTCCTAGCTTACTTCAGCCCAACAGATGGTGCCAAGCTCCTGAGCACAGACCAGCGCAGTGAAATCAGGGTTTACTCATCTTCAGACTGGACCAAGCCACAGCATCTGATCCCACATCCCCATCGGCAGTTTCAGCACCTCACGCCCATTAAGGTGAGTTAAGCCAGTGCAGTCCGAGAGGAGGAGTATTGCGCTTGGTGCTAGCAGCCGGCTGTACATCAGAAACGGTCAGGATACTGCATTCATGGGTGGATGTTCACACTGCTGCAACTCCCAGCAGAGCACTGTTCTGAGGATACCCATGTTCCTCAGGCTGTGGGTGGGATGTACAAACCGTTGCTCACACTGCGGTTGTCTGGTGTGTGGCAGTATGAACTCTGTCCCTTTCTCTTAACTCCCCTCACTCTGCTCTATGACTAGGCAACGTGGCATCCTCGCTATGACCTCATTGTAGCAGGTCGCTACCCCGACCCTAAGTTCCCCGGGTACACAGTGAATGAGCTACGAACTGTTGATGTATTTGATGGAAACACGGGGGAGATGGTTTGTCAGCTCCATGATCCAAATGCTTCTGGTATCATCTCGGTGAGTTGAGTACTGCAGCTAAAAGGACCACTGTGTATTGAACAGCAACCCACACATAGGGGCTGGGGACTAGAACAATAGGAGTATCCTCTTTACTTGTGACAGACTCACGCTCTCATTGGGGGTATGGCTGCTGGCGAAAGCTGCTGACTTGAGTGGGGCTGGTCCATGGGCATCTGTGGGTTTTCTGTGATACTCTTTAGGGAACATCGGGTTTTCCAGATGGTTTGTTGCTGCTGTATAAGCCATGGTGCTCTTATGACTCTGTTATATAAGCAGTGATGCTCTACCAGACTCTGATTGTGTTTCCATTTCCAGCTCAATAAATTTAACCCTATGGGAGACACGCTTGCTTCTGGCATGGGTAAGTAAAGAGAACCTGGGGTGCTAAGCACGGGGGGGTTCCAGTCGAAGAAAAGGGCAGGCTTGTATCGCCAGACTAAAGCAAGTTGTGAGTGAGGGTTTCCCAAATCCCACTTGCCTGTAGTCCTCTATAATTTCCTATGTCTGTAAAAGAGATCAAGACATTCTTTTTGTTAGTCCACCTCTGCAGTTAGAAAACAGGTTGCTAGTCATCTCTTGTGCAACATTCCTGAGAGCATGGAGTTCGGAGGAGCGAGAAACCTCCCCGGAGCAGGGAGCTGCTGCTATCTGCCCCCCATGTAACAGTAGCAGAAAACTATGGGGCGTGACGGGAGAAGCCTTTTCCTGCCAGGCTGTATCCTCTCCCTTTGTTTAATTTGTCTAATTTCCTAGGCTGCAGAGCCAAGATTACTCAGTTATTCGCAGGCTGTATGCGACTAAGGGAGCTAGCTATAGATTCAGGTCACACACCTGTGACAGATGAGATTAAGAATTACTCAATGATGTTTCTTGATTAGGCCAAATTTCCATGGCTGCGTGGAGATAGTGTCTGCAACAAACATCTTTGCATCCTCTGTACCTTGGAAATATCTTAGAACAGACAAAGCATTTTGAATTTCTGGCATTTAAGTGACATAGCCTAAGGTATTGTATCTAATGCAGAGTTTCTGATGCACGGTGTTCAATTTTTCCTCTCAGGCTTTAATATTCTGATCTGGAGCCGGGAGGAGATGGTGGCCAAGAAGCAAGAACATCTTTTGAAAGCCATGACAGAACAGGGGATTGGAAGCTGGAGTTTGTCCAGACGTGGAGGGCAGAGGCAGGCAAACCCTGGGACAAGCAAACTCAAAGCTAACTTACTGTCTTGGGAGCTGGAGGAGATGAAAACAAAAAGCAACGATTCTAAATCACAGGGAAGGAAGCGAAAAGGGAAGGATCTAGAGAACTGATTCAGTATTTTGATCCTTCCTGGATCACAGGGTACAAATTCAGTGTTGGCAATGGGCAGTGTAAGTCATGCAGGGCATTAGACTTCTACTTTGTCCTTCCTTCCTGGATCTGATCTTGCTTCCCTGAGTCCCTTTGCATCCCCTTCTAGAAAGTTGTGTCAGTACTCAGTTCCTCCTCCACATGGAGTTACCACCCATT